TTGGTTTTTTTTTACGACATGCTGGTGTACAGTCCGACTTGATATTCTCATTTACAACATTTAGAAGTTGTCTTGCAATTACTAAGGGAGCATAAATTATTTGCCAAGTTTTCTAAATGCTCATTTGGTCTTACTCAAGTGGAATACTTAGGACACACGATTTCTGGTCAAGGCATAGCTGTGAATGCTTCTGAGGTACAAGTTGTTTTAGCATGGCCTCTTCCTACTAACCTCAAGCAATTGAGGGGATTTCTGGGTCTTACAGGTTATTATAGAAAGTTTATTAAGGGATATGCATCTATTGCAACTCCTTTGACAAACTTGCTCAAGAGAGACAACTTTCATTGGGATGTTACTACAACTACAGCTTTTAAAACACTCAAATCAGCTTTAACTCAGGCTCCAGTTCTTGCTATTCCAGATTTTTATTATAATTTTGTGCTGGAAACAGATGCATTAGGGACTAGTATAGGCGTAATGCTTAGTCAAAACAATCACCCAGTTGCTTTCTTTTCGAAGAAATTAACTTCCAAACTCCATAAACAATCAGATTATATGCGTGAACTATATGTTATCACTAAAGCGATAACAAAATTTAGACATTACTTCTTGGGGCACAAGTTTTTAATTCAGACAAATCAAATGAGTCTCAGGAGCCTTACCCAGTAGTCCTTACAAACGCCTGAACAACAGTCTTGGTTGCATAAGTTGTTAGGGTATGACTTTACCATTGAGTACAAACCAGGGAAGGACAATTTGGAAGCGGATGCTCTGTCTATATCATTTTTCCTGGCATGGTCTCAGCCACACATGGAAATTTTGCCCATATTGCGGGATGCAATTGTAGAGAATACTGAGTTACACAACATCTGCGAGTTATGTCGCAAGGGTACCCCCCTGCATCCCAATTATTCCACACATGATGAATTGTTATATTGGAATGGTTGACTGGTTATTCCTCGGAAGCATGACTTGATTCAACAAATAGTACATGAATTTCACTATTCTCCACTCAGAGGTCACTCGGGTATCGCTAGAATGGTATCTCGAATTGTTGCACAATTTCATTGGTAGAGTATGCATAAAGACATAGTTGATTTTGTTAAACAATGTCTCATTTGTCAGCAGACTAAGTCTTCCAATACACTACCTTCAGGGTTGTTGCAGCCTCTTCCGATTCTAGCACATATATGGGATGATATCGCGATGAATTTCATCACTGGACTACCTAATACTAGTGGTTTTACAGTGATCATGGTAGTGGTAGATCGCCTTTCTAAGTATGTTCATTTTGCTCCTCTAAAAGCATATTACACTAGTGCACAAGTGGCAGAATTGTTCATGCAGACAGTGGTGAAATTGCATGGATTCCCTAAGTCTATTGTATTTGATAGAGACAAAGTTTTTATGAGTCACTTCTGGAAACAAATCTTCAAGTTGAGTGGCACTTCATTAGCCATGAGCACTGTATACCACCCATAATCTGATTGCCAATCTAAAGTTGTAAATCGTTGTTTGGAAATGTATTTACATTGTTTTACTTAGAAAATCCCAAGATGTGGCTGAAATTGTTACCTTGGGGTGAATTTTGGTATAATACTTCGTCCCACCTCAGTATGGGTATAACGCCATTCAAGGTAGTTTATGCAGGGACCCTCCTTGGATTGACAAGTATGTTATCGATTTGAATGATCCTCCATCATTGTAGGAGTTGTTGTAGCAACGTGATGCTATTTTACATCAGTTAAAAGACAATCTGCATAAAGCCCAATAGTATATGAAGAAGTAAGCGGATAAGAGGAGACGTCGTGGAATTCCAAGTTGGAGATATGGTGTTGGTTGAGCTCCAACCTTATCAACAAACTTCAATTGCATTGAGAAAACACCAGAAACTAGGCATGAAATACTTTGGTCCTTTCCCTATTATCCAATGTGTTGGTCCGGTCACATACAAGTTATTGTTGCCCTCATATGCTCGAATTCATGCTGTTTTTCATGTGTCGCAGTTGAAGCCATGCCAAGGTGTTCATCAACACCCATATATTCCACTTCCTCTAGTTACTAATGACATGGGTCCTATATTACAGCCAAAAGAGATATTGCAATCTTGAGTTATTCTAAAGGGAGTCTAACATATTCCTCAAGTTTTGGTACACTGGGAAGGTATGGGTGCAGAACATGATACTTGGGAGGATATTTCTTATGTGCAACAAGCTTATCATGACTTCAACCTTGAGGGCAAGGTTGAATTTAATGGCGGAGGTAATGTCACAAGTGAAAACAACACAAGGACAATTCAGGAAAATAACGCGGAGGAGAATAATTTTGTTAGAAAAAATGGACAGGTGTCAAGAAATCCTACGATTGTGGGCAACCAAAAAAGTGCTAGGATGAGGATGACCAATTCATGCATGAAAGATTATGTATGCGGTTAGGAGTTGGAGGAGGGGGTGGTGTGACATTCTGTTTCTTCTTACTCCTTTCTTGTCTCTGTTGTTGCTATCGTTGCATAGTAACCTTCGTTCCTTATTGTAAGAGAACCATCAAATACAATACTACATACAGAGTTTTATTCTTATTTTTCCATTACTCTTCCACGTTATATTTTAGTTTTCAATATTGTTATATATATAAAACTTACCTAAACTTGCAAGTGATTGTGAGTTGAATCTCTTTTCTTCTACGAATTCACCCATCTTTTCTTTTAGTTGTGCTGCCGGTTTCTACTTTCATGTGTTTTTCCTTGTGTCCGCATAACCATTGAAAAACGACGGAAGAGAGTGGTTACAAGGATGTAGAGATATTCGGGGAAAGAGAAAAAAAACCCTAAAAAAGAGGTTTGAACAGGAAAAAAAAAGAAAAAAAGAAAGAGGATAGTTAAAATATTTTCTTAATTTTATTAATAAATTATTTCTTATTAATGTTTTATCTAAAATAATAAATATAATTATGATAAGTTTTTTAATTCTCAAATTAAATAAAACACCCCTTTTTATATAAACTGTATTTTATTTTAATTTTATTAAATTATTCAATATTTTAATTATTGCAATTGGGATGAAATTGAGTGTTGATAAATAGATTTAATTAAATTATTATTTTATATAATAAATAATGTGATATAAAAATAATAATATATAATTAAAATTATTATAAATATTATGTTTTTTATGATAAAAATATGCCAATACATAAGCACAACAATCCATACGTTTCGTTAAAGCTAGATAAATATGTTAATAACTTAAAAGATGTTTTAAGTCTAAAATGTTTTTTTTTCCTTTTAGTCATTCATTTATTAGTTTAAATTCTTAATTGAATGTTTATTAGTTTTAAATTTAGGATATTTTTTAATAGTCATTCTTCAGTCTTTATAATTTAGCGTTTTAAAAAAATTAATATGATTAAGGTTACAAATAATATTTTAATTTAATATAATTATACTTTTAATAACACAATATAATTAAGTAATATATTTATTAGTTAATATAAAGAAATTAGTTATATATATTATTTTAACTATAGTCTTTCAATTAATTTTAATAATGTACTTTTATTTAAAATAATTATATTTTACTTCGAGTTTATAATTTTTTTTCTACATATTATTGTTGAAATGATAATATTAAATAACTTTAAAAACTGAGTTATTGAATTTTAAATTATTGAAAAAAAAATGCTGAAATAGCGCTGAAATTTTCCTTTGCACTGTGGCATTCAACCCAAATTTTGACTTTTTAATCAATTCTTACTTAGCACATAATTAAAATAAGATATTTAGGGGGTGACGTCAGATAACGTACACTTTATAAATTGAAAGGTTATTTGTATCGGGAAAAAGTGGCACATGTGTATGAAATGGTAGAGTTAGTAGGAGCATGTATACTCCAAAACTCAACACAATGGTTGTAGAATATATAAATTATTAAATACCATCATGCATGCCAAATCTTAATTATGATATTTAGGTTGAAATTTTAGAGTGATAGTAGTATATTTTTCACGTCTCTTTACTGTTGTAACGATTATGTATTCTAGAGTGATAGTTGTATATTTTTCCCGTCTCTTTACATGTTATTAGTAGCACAGGTTTTATATAACATAATATACTTTAAATAGTTAGTATTAAGAGTAAGTTACACGTACCCTTCTTTTTTTACTCACCAATAAAATTCACTTTAAAAAAATTTAAATTGATTTTTTTTATTATTTGTGAATTATAGTTTTTTTTGTCATAAAAATCAAGACTATTATACAAATTATTTATAATATATATATATATATATATATATATATATAATATTATTTTAGAAAGTGAATGATATATCTACAATTTTTTTTTCTCCTCTTCTTTTAACATGTTTAAGATATTATTTGCATGAAACTTCAGACAGATATTTTAGAAGAATTTCATATGAAATACTTTGATGAATTTAGGATATTCCATTATGTACAACTTTCCATGAAATTTGTTTAATTTCGTCCCAAATTCAATCGAAATTGTTTTGCAAACTGATTTTTCCCAATGTTAAAAATAAACATTACAATAAGAATAGCTACTATTTTAAAATATATTGCGACCGGATATACCAGAAGATATACTATCATCTTATGCATCAGTGACTATACATACTTTTCTTAATTATAATAAATAAACATTATTTTGTTTGAAAATACTGTTAGTAAATAAATTTAATTAAGAGTTATATTCTTTTATTATTTAAAATTTATAATAAAATACTATATTAGTTACCTATAGATAGATAGATAGATGGATAGATAGATAGATTGAAAACAATTCTAACAAAACTTGCTTTACATACATTTGATGCTGGTACATGGAATCCCACGTATTATTCTGGTAGAATCCGGTGGTAAGTGGAAGAAAGAGTGTATCACAATGTAAACATATATATTTGTGTGGATTAATAAACTAATGACTAGTACGTGATAATTAACGTATTGGTGCAGTCGAAACTAGCTGATGCCTATTAGGTAGATCATAGTTTAGACGTAGCGTTGAGGGAGTTGGCGGTTCTTCCAAGGGAAAAGAACTTCCCGGTGGGCAAGAGATGTGGCGGAAGCAAGGCAAGGGTGGCTGCGACGGCGGCGGCAGCCTCGGCGGTGTGGGTGCCCTTGCCCTTGGTCATGGAGGTTTGAGTGAAACCAGGACAAAAACAGTTCACACTCAACCCACTTCCCTCGTACGAATATCTCTTTGCCAACACTCTCGAATACGCGTTCAGAGCCACCTTCGACATCGCGTATTCCGTCCAGTACAACGGCCACCCTTCCTTCTTCCACCTTCCCTTCCTCACGTCACTAAGGAACAGACCCACCACTCCCTCTATCCCCTCCTCCATCAACTCCTCGCGCTCCAGCACTGCTCTTATCCCTGCGTTTCTCACCTTCTGCTCATACAAATACACGCTTCAATGTATTACCAAGATCCATTGTCATCATATTACAGAGTCAAGAATAATTTTAATCAAAACAATATTAGCTAAAAATTCCTTAATTTCTATATTATAGAAGAACCATGATTCTCACACTCCTTCCAAAAGTGTGAAACGGGTGTGAACAAAAGAAATATACATAGGAAAAGAATAAAACGAGAGAAAGAAAAGGACTTTTCTGTTTCATCATTTGTCTTTTTACGTAATATACAAATATATATTACTTTATAAAAAAAAATCAATATACTATTTTGAAGACGAGGCCTGTAAAATAAGGAGAAGAAAAAGAAAAAAGTAGAAGCATTAGGTACATTGAGGGAGCCAAGCCTTGAGCTAACGTTGAGAACACGAGTGATGGAAGAAGAGCAACGAAAGAGAGGGAGAAGAGCCTGAATGAGCAACTTGGGACCGTAGAAGTTGGTCTTCATCACAATTTCCGCGTGCTCCACCGAGTTTTCCTCTAGCTCATTGTACGACACCCCCGCATTGTTCACCTGTCCAAATACACCCACTTATGTACCCACATTCGTACACATCACTGTTAAAATACATGAATGATTCATGAGACAGATCTCTTTAACTTGTTTTGACTTGTGAACTAGCATGTGCACACACATGTGACATGACACGACAGTGACAGAATGTGGAAAGTAAAATAGTAGCACTAAATACGCACAAGAATGTCCAAGGTGGGTCCGAACTTGGCTTTGAATGAGGAGGCGAAGGTTGAGACAGAAAGGGGATCAGAGACATCGAGGAGTAGAAAGTGAAGGTAATCACCAACCCCTTCTTCTCTCAGTGTCTCCACCGCAGCTTCCCCTCTTTCCTTGTTCCTAGCAGTTAGCACCACACTCACTCCAAGTTCCGCAAAACGCTTCACCAATGCAAACCCTATCCCCTTGTTCCCTCCCGTAACCACCGCCACTGTCTCCTTCGTCCACCACCTTCATTCATTAATTAGCAACAGATACAATCAACAAACACAACATGTGCACCACAAAACATGCTAAATCCAATTCTCATTACAGATCAGTATTAAAAGTTATCTAAATTTGTCCATAATCTATTATAAAAACCCTAAGTTTCTCATATCATAAGGACAAAACAATTCATATGAGTAAAAAGTAATCATTTGTATGGAGTTGGTTTAGATTGATGGCGTACCTGGTTAAGGAGAGAGAAGGAGAAGGAAAATAATGCTCGGGTTCCATATTTGTGAGAGAGAATATATGGAGGAGTTTCAATTGAGGAAGAGAGTGATGAGAGGAATAGAATAGGCAAGTGTATGTACTTATATATAGAGGTTCACACAGTGGCATGCATTATTGGATGAAGCAACATATAATATAAGTAAACTTGGCAAGGACAGTGGCGGTGGAACTAAAAATTAAGGAGAAAAAAAAAATTAAGAAGAAAAATAAAAATGCAACGTGCATTATTTTTACTAAATCTGCATTGCTAAGTCTTCTAGGGCCTGCGTAAGTTGATATGATAAAAACGCATTCTACAATATCACTTCACCTTCATCAAATCGCTTCCTCCTCATCAACTGTACAATAATTTTTTATTCATTTTTTGAAGTCATTCATCCTCCTTTTTAGGATTAATTTCTGAAGGATATATATATTAATTTTTTTATTTGTATACATGCTTAAAACTAAAATTACCTGTCAATCATATTATACTTCAATTTATTTATTGTAAGATAATTGTTGTTTTTGCCTAAATTGACCAAGTTGGGTAATACATGTTGCAAGCTGTTCGAATATGTGTTGGAAAGGAAGTCAAAATCACATGTAATGACTCTCCTATGCTTATATTTGTAAAAATAAATAAAATTACAAAATTGAGATAATAATAAAAGGAATATGAACCCTTTTTATAAAATCATATATCAACATGACTAACTCAAAATCATAAAATGTTTATTTTTATTTTATAGAGCGTGTATCTAATGTTTTGAAAAATAAAAAAGAGTTTTTACTAATAATTGCTTAAAAATAAAATAAAATATTTTATTATAGGTCTCAAAGATTAGTTATTTAAAATTTGGTAAAATTTATTTATATAAATAACTTTTTTTCAATTTTAAATAACTCACTTGTAATAAAATATTTATTTTTATTGTTAATTAATGGTAACTCTTTTTAATATATTCTAAGTAACTTTATTTTAATTTTAAACAACTTTTTTTAATAATTATTCCTAATAAAATATTTATTCTTATTCTTAAATAATTTTTGTTAGTATGCACTTGCTCCTATTGGTTTCTAATCTTTATAGCTAGTTATTTAAAATAAGTTATTTTTTTATATTACAAACAAAAATAATTTTGCTTATGAAGATAGTGTTTTAGTGCACGATGACAAACCTATTTCTCTTTCTAGTATTGATTGTTATAAATAGTTTAGAAGTCAAATTCTAAACTTATTTTATTTAAGATAAGTCTTTATTTTATAATATTTTTTGACAGGATTTTATAATGCTTTAATGAAAATATTAATATAATTAAAATAGAAGATAATATTAAAAAAAATATAACTAGCAAACATGACTAAAATAATAAAATGAGAAAGATTTTCTTACTAAAATAGACGTCACATTCTTTCCGTTACAATTTATTATATTTTATATCTATGCAGATATAAAAACTCTTACGTCCATACATAATACACTAATTTATTTATGCACACCACATGCAAAATCATCACAATAATAGTAATAGAAGGTAACAATAATCTTCACATAAGATAAAAGTTGATAATGATAATAATAGAAGGTAATAATAATCTTCATAATATATTCTTTGTCTAACACCCTAACCTTAATATATATATATATATATATATATATATATATATATATATATATATATATATATATATATAATATTACGGATATCAAATTCAATTAAACAAGTCATTAATTTAAAATTTCTAGATATTGGTTATAAAATCACACACTTACAAATATTTAGTCTATGTAATGTAAAATTTAATTTAAAAAATTATTAAGGAATTAATATCTAATCATTTTATAAAAACATTACAATTAAACGTATATATTTCGTTTTATTTGGAATCAGTAATTTTCTTCGCCAAACCTCAGCAATGTTAACAACATAAAATAAAATAAACGCTATTGATTAAGTCTAGAAATATACTTCTCATGTTAAATACAACAGTTTATGAATTTATTAAATGATTAAATAATCAGGCTTGATATATATACTTTGTTTAATTCAAATATAATATATTACCCGTCAAAAATTCCATCCTAAAATAAAATGATTACGAACTAAATTTTTAAAATAAATAACAAGTGGTTCATTTAACTTCTCCCTTAACAATCATCACTTCTTATTTTTCATACCCACTTGATTTCATACTTGACTTCTCTTCTGAAGAAGAAAATATTGAAATGTGTTACAAATTTTATTGAAATTTTCTATAAATTTCGAAACAAACTACAAAAAAATCATATATGAACCACATGACTCAAAATTGATAAATATTCATCCAACGACCGACCAAAATTTACATTAACCATGTTATTGCTTGATTTGTTGAATGTTCTTATATAATAAACTGCATAGTATTAGTTTATTAATTAAAAATACACGCTATTGATTTAAAATTACACACATTTAGAAGCTTAAATCAGATGGGAAAATTGATGTGTGCATATGATAATAAGATTGTTTAAAAAAGAGAATAATAGGGTAGAAGAATATTTAGGTGGAATAGGTGGCGCAGAATCGTTCAGACATGATATTTCATAAATTAATGACCGTTGCTCATTTATATAACGTTGTGATGTGAAAGGGACTAAGGTTCAGGTTGAATGTATACATGAAATCATAATGAACAAACCGCGTCACAGTCACGTCACCAAACCCTTATTCCACAAAGGGAATTAGACAGGGTCGCAAATTATTGATGTATACGATCATGAGATGAACAAATTACGATATGAGTAATCAATGTTTTCCCTATATTTATGTGTATCTCCTTTTAAATGAAAATTAATTTCTAAAAAATAAAACACAAAATTAATGTTGTTTTTTTAATCAGTCATTGAAAACATAGTTTAAAGTTTTAAGATTAAGTCTAATTAGATATAATAAAAAAATATTTTTATAATAATAATAAATTTATTAATAATAATATTTAAAATATAATAATAAAAATTATTATTACGATTATGCAACTTACCATAAGAAAGTGAAATATGAATAATAGTTAAAATAAAATAAAAAATAAAAAATATTATATATTTTAATAAAAATTATATTAAAAATTCAATTTCATATAAAAATTAATTAAACTTTTCGATTTTATCAATTTTATTTAAATTTATTTAAAAATAATATACATAATTCTAATCTTGTTCTCCATTTAACAGATTGAACTGATGATGGTCGCCCTTAACTGTGCCTTCAGTTTATGCGTTGCATTGTTGGAATCCACGCGGCATAGTGCGTTCCGTGCAACAATTTCACACAGGAGTCAAGAAATAACTCATTAACTCTCATCTTTTCACATCTTAATTATTATAGTTTTCTTATAACGAAAAATTCCACTCAAAACGAAAGTAAGATAACAAATTTCTTCTTATATACAATGATTTTTTTTTCTATTGAGGTATAATAAAAAATCTCTTAAAATATGTGTGAGTATAATAATTCTTTTTAATAATAAATACCATAATATATATATATATAAATATAATTTTATATTATTAAACTAGTTTTATAAAATTAAATGAAATATTTTTTAATTTTTAATATAATATCATATTCAATTTTAGACAAAAAAATTATTTTCAAAATAGAAAATAATAATATAATAAAATTTCGTATCAATTAAAAATATAATAATATTATAATATATAGATATATATAAATAAAATTATTATCATAATATTTATATAATTAAATTAAGTAAATTTCAAAATTTAATATACATGTACCTTTGACTATTGTTTTTTTTATCATATCACATGTGACTTATTCTTTCCTCAAGTATATACATTGCAAAGTTCAAAGGTAATGAAATAAAAGAAAAATGAAATTTCATTTTGTTTTGATAAGCATAGCCTGCCCTTTACCTAACTGCTAGCTTCTAGGTAGCTATGTTGTGGTCCTCAGATTCCCTGTCACTGGTGGTCATATATTTGTAGGTAGCAATGGAAGAAAAAGTAACCCTAGTTTTTGAGTTTTGAGCTTTGGGCATGTGACTTTCATTTTAGAAAAATGGGAGTGCACTTTTGTTTCTAAGTTCACATCCACTCATTTGTTATATAAGAATTGATATGAAGAAAGTGGGATGAAAAAGCCCTATCTTTATGACAAACATGCCAATTTCATATATTTTACTGCATCGTGAACCCCGTCCACTCTGAAGTATATTAAAACTGCACAAACCCACTTCTTTTGTTTAGACAATATATTAAAAGTTCCTTATCACCTCATTTTAAATCACCAACTCACTTTCAAATAAAGTAAAAAAATAATAATTATGACTTTAATTATTGTCTTGCCAAAAATATATAATATCAAATAAAATAAATAATAAATTCAATCAAATTCATCTTTCAGAATTTATTCACCAAATTCTATTTTTTCTGAAAAATATATTAGAGATTTAATGCAAAGATATTATGATGTTCAAACCATTACGACAATATGAATATAAAAATAATTATATAAAATGTATGAAAAAGAAAAAATAATAATCATATTTATATTTCTTTAAAAGAAATTATTTTACCTAATAATTTCAATACTAATTATTATATTTTTAGTATGATATTATATGTAATTGAATAATTAGATATATTTATTATTATTATTATTGTTATACATTAATAGATAGTATTTTCATTTAAAAACTCAACTGAGGTTATTTATTTAATTTTTGTTAGCTTTAAATGAAAGTAATTCAAATAAAATATAAGTTGTACAAATTAAAATGAGTTATTGTGTTGCTTTACGAAGTTTAAGTAACGGTGTAAAACAACATCCTCACTAATAGTACTTTCTTTCTTCATTTACTTCCTGTATACAAATGTCAACCATTCTTTTTACTATATATTCTCCTTACATCTAATATGAATTAAAATTTCTTTAGAATTACAAAATTATTTCATAGTTAACTACTCACGACATAATTTGAATAAATTTAATAGCCTACCAAATTAATAAATACCA